TCTCTTCAGATATATATTCAAGCATTTAATAATCCATTTCGAAAGAAGTTACTAAATCATGTATCGTCGACAGATATAAGAATATAATACCCGTTGAACCGTATCAATCTGGTGATTTAGCGCAAATAGCTGTAACGCTTCTTAATGAAACCATACGAGTAACGTTCAAGCGATATCGGTTTAGCCGGAGTCATCGAGTGAAACTGTTTTCGCGTCTTAACGAGAGTCGAAGAAAGCATTATCATGAGATTACTCAAACGGGATATGAAATATTATCTGACGGGATGACCATAATAGAACCGTAATGGTGGAACGTTCACACGTCATTTGATCTGTAAACTGTTGCAAAATTTCTATTAAAACAGGATAAGCATATCTTAATAACGATGCCATTGAAATAGCGAACGATGAGGCCGGTAATTATTATTCACACGGGAATAATATCGTAACGGTGATGATCGTAAATGATTACTTCCGTTCGGCAAAAACCGAGCCGGCGCGACTATCATTACTTTAATATAACGAGGATCGAGGAGTTGCAACGCGTAATAGATATCTCAAGGTAAACGCGACAATTTAAATGCGATAACTCCGGCAATCTTCAGTGAGAGTATTCATTTACCCGACAAGCCGCCACACAAGCAGCAGCAACTTTACTTTTTTAATCATCGAACATGGCCGTTATAAACCGGTATAACTGTACCAGAGATATCGCGTGACCCAAGGATAATAGAAACTTCTTAATCGCGCGCGTACTAACGTAATTTTCACTTGCAAGCTTCATCATCTTTTTTCGAATATGTTCGTAAAAGAAGAAAGGAGGAAACGACGCATCGTCCACTTACGATTATCTCGTATTAATTGACTTATCAGGGATGTTTTCCCCTTTTTGCAGCTACCATTCGCAAACTGGTTGTCGTTCTGATTAACTTTTACATAATGATATACCTACATTCAAAAAAAAAAAAAAAATTGAATTCATTACAACAAATTGTACTTTATGAATTTACATCGTGATGATATATTCAAAAGAAAAAAAGAAAAAAACGATTGACGCTCTAGAAACTTACTGGCACTCATTCATAATTTCTTCCTGCGTCCGTACTTGCACGGGTGCCAGCGATTCGACGTTCGTGCCATAATCGCGAAAGCAGGATGTTATCTTCTCGTCGAAGGTGTTAACGAGGTCCTCAAGACTGCCGCTGAAAGGGCTGAATGTCCCCTCCTGGAGAATATCAGTACCATTCTCGTGCGTAGCCGCTGGCTCGTTCGCGTTACAATTCTCTCCATAACTCGTGTTTAAACTCGTGTCCAGCAATTGCTCTAAATATGACAAACAAGAGAGATCATTGTCAGTATTTATATATAACTACATTCTTCGCTATTTTTCGATTGTCCCTGATATCGAAAGAAACGTAAACATCGATAGTGTGGAAGGCAATAAATCATAACAGTGGCTCGTTAATTCCATATATAAAACCATGTATTAAATTTTGTATCACTATACTCGGGTAATTTCTAAACGCTTCTTGACATTTGCGTCATAGAATTTTCTATTAATGCAATTAAGGCTTTGTATTTTAGAAATCTTATAACCTTGTAAAAGATCAGAAAAGAAATGAATGAAAAATCCCTGAAAAACGTCAATCAATGGTGGATGGGAGCGTTAATTTACATTTGCGACGGGTGTGTTATCAGTTACATAAACGCGACGTATTATACTTTCACGGCAGTGACGCATGGCGGATCGAATGTTTTTAGGATTAAATATCCAGAATTTTTCTACGAGAAACACACACTGTAAAGCATACTTATATATACGTTTCTCTAAGCAGCAGCCTCGGCGTCGATCCGAGGCCAGATTTCCAACGATGTGTATTCTACAGTGTGTCGTGAAAAGTGATACGAAAGTTAAAGCGTATATGAAGGATATTAGACACCAATTGTATGCATGACGTAGCCTTTTGTTGCGCGTTCGTCGCCCGAAGGTCGCTTCTTCATCGCTGCCTGTACTAAGCCACCCTCGTCATTTAATTTGCACGTCCGCAAAATGAGCGTGACCACGCGTGCACGCACGCGTTTCTACGCGCTTAATGCAGAGAGGCACACGAAAACCTGTCCCTGCAATCGAGAAACTCTTTTGCTTTCGAAATTTCCGCTTACAATGCCGCACTGCCGACGCACTGGAACGCCTTTTTTAGCCAAGGTGAAGAACATCTCCTCCGATACCGATACCGAAGAAACTATGCGCTTTTCCTTTTCGTGAATTATTTTCGTACATATTAATAAACGATGATTTCTTTACGCAATCAAAGGAATGGAGATCTGTTCCTTTTAATTAAAATAAAAAATTCTACAAAAACAAAATAACTCTAACAGCCACTTCGGATGCATATGTTCTGCGCGTTTAAATCTCTCGTAAATACATAAATAGCAGCCTATTCATAAGTGAACAATCGTCACCCATTTTCCAACTAAGTCGCAATCGATTGCCCGTAAAAATAGAGGAGGAAGGATTATCGCACTTATATCGATTGCCAGTTTTCTAAATGAACCGTTAAGTTCGCAATTTTGACAATGACGAGTTACATTCGTAACTGGGATATATATTCTGCGATTCGGGAATACCGCGGTGAACTTTCGATCCCAAACGAGGTTAACAAGAGTCCGTAAAACGACGCAGCGAAATGCGTCGCAAATCGGAGTGAGGAAGGGACAAAAGGAACGCCGACACGCGTGTTCTCTCTCGCACCTGTCAGTAAATTCATGTTCTTCAAGCTGGCCGTGTCTTCTTCCTCGAAACGTGCGAGGGGTGCCTCGAACTTCAACTCGGCGATCTTGCCCGCCATGTCCCTCATTATTGACCGTGTGGAGAAGAACCGGCAGCGAAGTCAATCACCGTGATGAAATTCGGCACCGTGCGCTTGCGGCAGCGCTTCCGAGGCGCACCGTTTCTCTCGTTGATTTTTAATGATTCTTTTTGACAGATAGGGGTAGGGAAGAAAAAGAAATAGACGAATAGACACTGAAACCTATCAGCCGATCGGTATAGTACCCGTCGCCTGGAAGGCTTCGCGAACGACTGACGCAGAGGGAGCTCGTTCGAAAATAGAGGGGGAAGATGATTGCTGGTCGCCATGACAACCGCTGGCTGAGCGCGCTGATGACATAAAGCGTCGACAGTAACGTATTTTAGAAGTTAACAACCCTGTGATATCATCAACAAACTTCTCAAACAAATTCGTATAGGAGATGTAACGGGATGTAATTAGTTTTATCTCGTGCTGAGCAGTTCTCTTACTCAACTTTCTCTTCTTACATTTATACCATTTGAATTCGAAATTAAAAAATTTATATTCAATTCTATACCGATTGGAATGTTATTAAAAAGATTCGAAAGTAATTAATACATCATAAATTAAATTTATAAAATTGTTACGCCAAAATTAGATTTCGTGTAAGTATAAAATCTACCTTAGATTTTATACTTTGTGTTACACAGAAAGTTCACAAATTAATTCAGAATAACAAATCCATCTCTTTAATCACGTGTGATAGTGGATTGTGTAACAATTGTTAATGACTAATTGATTAAATAAAGATCTACCAAAAATATTTTATACTCTTAATTGTGTTTCAAATTTTGAATTTAGTTTCACAGAAATTGAATATTATTTGGCGCGAGTAGTTCGATCTATTAAGTAAAATTATACAATCTATATATATGCATTTCGTAGATGAAATAGATTAAGAATATAGAAAGAAAGGATTTGATTATATTGGCAATTATAAAAGTTCATAGATTAATCCTTTTAATTAATATTTTTGTAAACAAAAATTTGATCAAATCACGGATATTCAAACACTATCACCACGTAGCGGTAATGCAGTGGAACTAATCGCAATTTTTGTCCTTATCGCACGCTATTGCTCTTCTTGTTTATTACGCAATATATATCTGTCTTTATTGCACACTATTGTCCTTGTTTATGGAGAGTGCTGCCATCTAAACACCTTCAATTCCAATTGGAATTAAAAGAATAAAAAAGAAAACTCTAATAGATGGCAGCACATGACACATGCGAGATGGCAGGGACAAATGCTACCATCTATCGGATTTTTAATTTTTATCCTTTTAGTTCCTGTCCGAATTAAGAGGCCTTTAGATGGCAGCAATATTCGCAAACAAAGAGCGCAATACACGACAAGGACAGGAACAGTGATTAGTTCCACTGTTTCACCGCTACGTGGTAATAGTGTTTCAATGATTTGATTAAATTTTCAATTACAAAAATAAGTAATAAATAGAATTAATTTGTAATTTTTCATAGTTGCATTTGCCTGATTGGAGCTTGAACTTTCTCCCTTCATAAATTTTACATTATTCGTACTTAGAAATGCATATATAAAAATTGTATTTGTATATCTATAATATATACTATAGAATATATATATTTTTTTACAAATGGATGGAGTGCTGCTAACAATGACAAGGTGCTGTTCATTTTAAGTTTTGAAACAGTCAATTTTGTGTATAATACTTGCATAAAAAATCTCAGTGCTCAATGCATTAAAATTTCAAATCTAAAATACTCCATGCAGAAGTTTTATAAATTATTTGTGAAATACGCAATTATGTAATTATTTATGAATTTTCTAATGTATTTTTACACTTACTTTTTCATAATGTTTATCTTTCGAGTTCATTGAAAAAAAAAACTATAAATTTCTAGTTCATTCCGCAGCCACGCTTCTTTCATTTTCGAGCAAAGAATATTGCACTTTTCAGATATTGCTAACGCAAGAAACAATTGTTCTTAATTGGAATTCGTTGTACAAATATCTGTTTCTGACATTTTTCTGTCCTATCTGCTCTTTCAGTGACCGGAACAAAGGCTAAACGGAACTCACTTTCCAGGGCGATAAGGTGATTTGGAAAAGGACAACTATTATAATAGCGGTCCCTGTGGGTTCGCTAGTAATGCCATATGTCACATTATATATGCCAAGCGATTTACTCTGACACCTGTAACATTTCGATGCAAAACACGAATAATTGGGCTAATGTACTACAAGGCAATTAATATACTAGCAAGTCGCGCTAAGAATATATAAGAAAGGAAACTACTATAAAAGGATTGTAGTTAACCTTGAAAATGCACTGTCAGAGATAATGATCGCACTGATGGCAATTTTTAAAAATTAATATTTTTTTTCACACTAGATCTAAATAATAATACAAATTGGGCAAGTTCTATTTGAGATAAAAATCATTTAAAAGAAAAATCATTTCCACTAATTTATTATTTCTGTTTTAGATAAAATATAACTTTATTCAAATCAGATAAATTACTTTTAAATCTTTTACTGAAGTTGATTCATTGAAATAAAATATCTTGTGAACGTAATCGAAGCAAGGGAATCTAAATAGAAATTTGATCACATTAGAAGCCCTGATTTGAATATTTTATATAGTATTGCATGCAATATGCTTTTCATAGCAATCCAAAAATAATAAATAATCCTAGCACAAGGTGAGATTGAATTAGAAATTATTTATATATTGATTATTTCAAAATAATCAATGGACTCGAATAAGATGATGTGTCACTTCAATAATTATTTTGCAAACATTTTTCAAATAATTCAAGTAATTCAATTTTATCCAATCCTAGATGAAAAAGGAACTAGCATTACAGAAAAATTAAATCACCAGCAGAATTATATACATTTTCAATGTTTCTTGCGTATCGTTGGATAACACTCTGTTGGATAATTGATGGCACAATTGTTTTAACAGTATTGGCAATGAAGTAATGCCTTGTTTCTCTAACGAAGAAAAGGATGTTGGCATAAAAGATTCATGAGGCGCGGTATATAATACGGAAAAGACTGCTCGGGTGTGCTGGTAGATTTACGTATTGTCGATTGCAAAGTAAAATTGTTGCTTATGGTATAGTATTTGAGAAAGAAACTAGAGCGCGAAATATAAATTAATGGAAATTACAGTAATAACGAGGGATTTTTAAATCGCTTTATATGGATAATCAAATGCTAATTACAACAGAGAGAAAAAAAACATTCTTTCGACATCAATTCGTTGCACATCTGCGTAATATTTACACATACATATTTTTTATCATCTGTTATTATGCCGACCTGACTATAGAAGTCGATTAAATTAAAACGCCATAGATTATTTTGCTATTATAATTACTCCACGTTTGCGTTGTTACTGTCTATCTGTCAATCATGTGATTTAAAATTGATGCCAGCCCATCGATAATTTTAATTGATTTCATCAAATTTAGACTAAGTCTACTTAGTAATTACGTCGCATAAATAACTGATAATTACAAGTGTCATATGAAAATATGCCGCCGTTTTGCGGTTCGATACTTATATACATTCTTATTCTCTTACGTCCATTGCATATTTTCCAGAATATTATTAAACTTCTGACTAAGGTAACCTTAGTCTAACAGCGATAAATGAATCGATATCATGGCGAACCGGATTGATACGTTAAATCGTACCAAGCTCGATTAATAAAAATCGTACTACGCATATAATAGAAATTTCCGCAGATTTATCTGATAGACAGATACCGATTTAAACATGGAATATCGCGGCACTTATGGCAAAGCAACGGATGGTTAAGTTGCTTAATTTAGTTATAACTAAATGGATGCTGGGGAGCATTTCTATGATCGCTCGACCCAACCAGTTGAGAGTCCAATTACTGATAGTTCCAGATCTTGCAACCTAATCAAATTCAATGGAAAAATAGAGCTGGGGCTACCCTTTCCATGGGTTGTTGTCGAAGGGATATTACGTGCCGGATGGTAATGACCCTCCCTATTGCTCCAACTTTGTTCTCACGTTGGCAGTGCGTAGTTGGCGATAGACTGAAGGGGACGCGTGTGTTTCAAAACGACGAAAAATCACGTACAAAGTTCGATACTTGACTCAGGTATGTACGAAATGCATCGGTTTCTTTGAACACACAGCCTCACCGGAAGAAAGAGACAAATCTTTGTCGAAGTAGCGTCTCTCAATTATCAGAAGCAAATACATTTAAATGAAGGAGAATAAAATGAATAAATAGTTGATAAAGATATTTCTATTCCGTACATACGTTCGATTAACGTTGCCTCGAACAAATATGCGATAGAAATTGGACATTGTTGGAAACATAGCCAGGTCAACTAGTTCATCAGACGACTTTGTTGCACGTAACGATAAATCGATTTTCTCACGTGTTAGAATAATCCGATCACCGGATTTATTGGATAGAGAAGAGGGTGGCGGAGTTCAAAGACGAATGTTTCACTGACCGATGAGGTGTGCGTTTTTCATGAAACGAAGATGCGAAAACTCGCCGAGTCGCCGAGTAAATATACCACCGACATTGGCAGTGTTCTCCTCCGATCCTTTGGCATCTATTCTCGGACGAATCCGTGGTGCATCTCGTTTTACCGACAGAAATAGCCGCCAGTATTTTACTCCAGCTAGCTAAGAAGATTTCATTAAATCGTTTTTCTATTAGTTAATGCGCAACTGTCGATACTACTCGATTTTCTCAAGGGACTTTACTCGCGCGATAGCATTGTCGTTGGCTCACTGTATCGTTAACTGTACACTACGTGAGTTTACAATTATCGCGAACAATTAACATTGGCCTGACTGTGAAAATGTTGCAACCGAACTTGGTTCTGCTGATAAAAATGTACTCGATAACTTGTTATCACTAAAGATTAAATAACCAAACGAATACGAGTCGAGCCTTATGACCAAAGAGTTTAGAACAGCCTGATCTGTGTTGTGAAGAATTATTTAGTCTTGACAGTGTCAGCTATAATTTGATTTTTATACAACAGCTTTTCAAATAGTGCACGTGTAGTTTCAAGTACAAAATATCCTATAACACGTTTTAGTGCATTTGTATTAAGCAGTCCAAGTACAGAATCTGGATTGGACGATGCGAATTTGAAAATTGTCGAGGACAATTCAAGGACAATCGAGGACATCCTACTTGTATCGGAAGGCCAGCGGAAGTGAGCAAGATATACATAGACATCTGTCTTGATATCTTTGAGTTTGCTGCGTAGATTCGCCACGTGGCATGGTAAGTTACCTATACAACAGGTACATTGGCTCATGCGTGTCACGTATAGATCTTCAAGGTGGCAAATATTCTAGCAAAGAGGGTGACAATGATTCTTTCAATCAACTTGAGACGATATTACAATCAAGAGGATCATTTTTTGTCCCTGTGTTAAACGATCTGATTATCGTCGACCGAACACTTTTGGTGGGAAAGTTGCGTTTCACGACGAGATTTAAATTCCTTTGACTCTGCTCTCTCACCGGGATCGAAGTTGTCTTTAAAACGAGCACTCCGTCTGAACTCTAAACGAGATTAGCCTCGATTGGAACGATACCGTGCGATCGAATGCCCGGCGATTGCATACAAAGCTTGAATACCAATTTTCTTCGCTACGTGTTTACTCGGCGCTGCGTTTCAGAAGACCACTGCGCAGAAAGAAGCCGTAACATGCCGCGTATTTTATTTAGCCTAGTGTTATTGTTCCGTCGAATCTAAAACGAACGAGCGTTCATGCAAAGACAGATGAGAAATAATACGGTCACTGTTCGACCACCGGTGGGACCACTTGCGCAAATCGCTTAACTAAGCTAACCGTTCGTGTTATCCGCACTTTTATGTAATTATTATGCATCGAATGATAACGTAATTGTACAAACTCAGTCGAGTGCAACGTAATTTTTATTTTTCTCCGTTCAGCAGAAAGCAGAGCAGAGTTGACTGTCCTCTGTGCGTGTTTCCTCTGTGATTGATAGAAAAATGCAATTCCACTTGCTACAACGACGATTAAATAATCGTGTAGTCTAAAAATTAATATGACTGATCTACGTACTGATAACGAAGATATCGATTAATTATTCTTTCGATCGATCCGATACTTTATCAGTCACATTAGACATTAGATATTGGACGGTAATTAATTTATATAAATTGCTTGCTTCAAAGTTAAGCTTACTTTAAAGTCGTCAAATTGCGAAATATGTAAAAATCAGCAACTTGAGCAAGCACTAAATGGTACGTAAGAGTCAACCTATCATATTTGAAATGTGTCATACTTCCGCGCGCTGATCGATTCGAAGGCGTGTTCCGTGTACGATCATACGTAAGTTAATTTCAAAGCATAGGGGTAATTAAAGCATTTATACGTCAGCTAACAGATTTATTAGAATTACAGAACGTACTGATTTCAACATGAACTCTAATAACGTTATTCACTCGTTATGTAATGATTTGTCGAAATATCGAGAAACTTTCAAATTACAAACATCGAAAATATATAGAGTTTTGTTCGAACGAAATTACCTGGGAATAGCGTGAATTTCAAGCGTAATTACGTTCCGTGTTGTCAATAGAGGCAAAATAATAGTGGGATGATCTAAAAGATGAATCTAGAAAACGAGCGAATGATTGAAAGAGAAAAGAAGAGGGAGTATCTATTCCGTAAATAATGGGTTGTAACTTTTTACAGTAAGTATTTTATTCTCGAGGTGAACTTGCATGAAATCATTAAGATTTTATTACTGGAGAAGGTGTACTTTATTCCGATTGGCTTACCACTTACGGATCTAGTACCGCCTCTGCCAGTCTACTAAGAATCATTTATATGTATGTACATGTAATAGGTATCGTGATCTCTTAACGGATAGGTGATTAAATCGCGACAAAGTATATCATTGATCGATCGATTAACGTCAGTTAAAGTGAGATCATGGGCATGAAAAATTTATCGTACAAATCGATCGTACCAATCGGCAAGGCTTATGCCGCAGCCAAAGCATTTAAAGAACGATAAAAAGGAAATCCTATTGATCTTCTGTCCAGCAGTTGCTTTATTTTTTATGCAACTTATATAGCTTACGTTACGCGGTGTCCTGAATAACGATACATTTGATATTCTTCTATACCTCTCGAACAATCCAGATTCTTATTGAACGAAGGTTCGATCCTGAATCGCAGAAACGCGATGGAACATCGATAACAATAACAACGTTTACATAAATCAAAGTACAATTAATTCTCCTATAAGTCTACACGATTTTTCACGCTGCCGTCTTTTTCTGCTCTTATCTTTTTCGCTGTTTTTTTTTTTTTTTTTTTTT